ATGGCTGCCTACATGGACAGAGACACTGGGCATGAGGTAAGTGTTGTTATTTTTCTTGTTAATTATGTTTTGGGGGGATTTGTTTTTGAAAATATTGTTCTTTAAGGATAATTTTATGTGTTCTTGTTGAAAAATAATGAATTACATTTACACAACTTTGATAAACAGGCATTGAATGTCTGTATCCTGGGGGATACGTTGCCCAGATAGGGGTATATAAACAGGCATAATCACTCTCAGATATACTTATGTTTTAAAGCCTATACTCTACAGATAATCAATAATTTAAAGGTGTTAAATGTTGATTACACTACATTTTACTCTTAAATGTGTATTACTGATTAATTTATCTGCGTACATATGTTTTCAGGGAATTTCTACCAGTACTTTCTATGGTACAAGAAAGAGAGAGGTGGCATCTGTTGTGTTGCCACCTGATGGTTCATCTGATTCAGATGAAGATGAGGGAACCAGTGAAGATGAGGAAGATGAATTGTATACAGAGGGCCAGTGTCAGGACAGCAGCAGCAGCAGCAGTGACGATGAGGCAGAAGAGGGAGCAAACCACAGTAAAAGAGGGAGGATGTTCAGGTGATGATTAGAGTAGTATAGTGAATTGTTATGTAAAAGATCCAACTATTTTGGTGTAGATATTGTACGTACAGCATCTGTCTGCAGCAAAACATGATGTGTTGTATGGTCATGTGTGTTAGTCTCTCTCACTCGCACACGCAGGAATGCATGTACACACGCACGAACGTGCGCACACACACTAACATACGCGCACACACACACACACACACACACACACACACACAGGAGTTTAAAAATATAAAGATTTTGGTGGTTTGTATTGGTGATTGGGGGAAGGGGGTGCCTGTTTTTTCACAGATATTTTTTTCCTTTTCAATAGGTGGAGAAAAACTAAATTTGAGCACCAGTCTACTGCTACACCAAGTTGCTTCACTACACCAGATGAGCTATCCACGCCATTAACATACTTCTCCAAATTCTTTGATGAGGACATCTTTGGGACCATTGCTCACCAGACGAACTTGTATTCATGTCAGCTCATTGGAAGTAGCATCAACACTGATGCTTCTGAAATCAAAGCATTCATTGGAATGAAGTTGATGATTGGTGTAGTGAAAATGCCTGCAGTGGAAAACTACTGGGCAACAGATACTAGATATGACAAAGTAGCAGATGTCATGCCACTCAAGAGGTATAAATGTTTGTCAAGGATGCTCCACTTTCAAGATAACATGAGCTCTGATTCCAGTGAAGATCGCCTGGTGAAAATAAGGCCTGTACTTGACCACATGAGGGGGCAGTGTATGGAAATTGAGAGTGAAAACCAATTCTCAATTGATGAAATGATGGTACCATACAAAGGCAAAAAAGCTGGAAGTCTGCGGCAGTATCTACCCAGCAAACCCAAGAAATGGGGTTTCAAGATCTTTGTGCGAGCTGGTGTTTCTGGCTTTGTGTATGACTTCATGGTTTACACAGGAAAGTCTACATTTGATGGTGCTTCTCTAGACAAAGAGTTTGGGTTATGTGGAAATGTGGTTCTGCAGCTGTGCAGAACCATCAGAAATCCCTCCAACTGCGTTGTCTACTTTGACAACTTTTTCACATCCCTGAGATTGATAACTCATCTAAAGGAGTCTATGGGCCTCAGAAGTTTGGGTACCATTCGAAAGAACCGCTTGATGGGTTGCACATTGGAAGAAGATCGAGACCTCCTACGAAGAGGAAGAGGCAGCTTTGACTTTCGTGTAGACAACGATGCAAAGCTTGCTGTGGTCAAATGGGCAGACAACAAAACTGTCACCTTGGTGAGCTCCTGTGCTTCTGTCAGCCCAGTTGGCCAAGTGAGACGCTACTCCAAAGAGGAAAAGAAGAAGATAAGCGTGCCATGCCCGAAGATTGTATCTGAGTATAACACTCACATGGGAGGAGTAGATTTGGCTGATATGATGATTGCCCTCTATCGCACTCCAGCCAAGTCACATCGATGGTACCTGGCCATATTTTGGCAGATGGTTGACATTGCTGTCAATAATGCCTGGCTTCTCCATCGTCGTGATGCAGCCCAACTGGGTCAGAAACATCATTGCCTGAAGGTCTTTAGGTTGGATGTTGCCAAAGGACTCATCTACCCTGAAAAGCAAAAAAGGGGTCGCCCCTCCAAAGGAAACGAAGACAACACACCACCAAGAGTAATCAAACAGCCAAAAGTCCCCAGGCCTGTGGATGATATGATATATGACAGGATTGACCACTTCCCTATCGTGTCAGTGAAAGGCCGATGCAGGATGTGCCAGGATGGACAGACCTCCATCGTGTGTCAGAAGTGCAAAGTGAGGCTTTGCATTGTCACAGGCCAAAACCCTCGCAACTGTTTCCCACAGCTTCCACTGCCAGTAAGCTATTTCTAGTGTAGGAGCTCCACAGGAGAGATGTTTGCACAAGAACAGTAATAATGTTAGTAGCTCGTTGTTTATTCAAAGTTAGATTTGTTTCCAATGACTTGTGTTCAGTTTATCCCCCACTTTTTTAAACTTTGTTTACAATACATGAAAAAAGTAACTAATTAATTGCTTATAATATGTTTTAAAAGTTTACAAATGAAATATTTGAAAATGTTAAATTTTTACCCTAAACGGGCAATGTATCCTGGGAGATACAAACTTTAAAATGAAAAATAAAGGTCATATTCTGAAAAAAATCATGAAATTGTGTTATTTTAGCCTAGAAACATTAGAAAATAGCAATTAATTATTTTTCCAAAGTTTTTATATGTGCTTGCCCATTTAAGGGTTAAATTCAAGCCAAAAAAGTGTTCTTTCATTTTCTGAGCTGAATTTGAAAGATTTGGATTAGAACCCATGTCAAATCCTGTGTGATTTAGCAAATATAAATAATGTTGTGGTTAATAACTGGCTTATTCATTCCTAAGAAAAAATGTCAACACCAAGAAATGCAGTTGCCGTTGGAGTAGTATATTTTGCGATAATCATAGATATCCATTTGAATTAGGACAATGTTCAACACCAAATAACCGCATATTTGTCTTTTTCTTATAAAAAGCAGTTTTTCAGTCTTTTCATTGAGTTATTTAGTTGTGGTCTCTGTCACACGATCACCAACATAAGGGGAACCTATTAAATTGTAGGATATTATTAGGAATTTTTTTTTAGGTTAATTCACAGCCGTTAGAATCAAATCAAGAAGGTCCTGGGTTCGATTCCTCCTCCACACATCGCCTTTCTGTGTGGAGTTTGCTTGTTCTCCCCTCGTCTGCATAGCTTTCTCCTACCACTAAAAATATGTACAATACAGGTCTGAATGTAATGAGGAAGTGGTGATGGTCGGGGGCGCCAGGTCTCGCTGTGTGGAGTGAAAGTAATTTACCGAATGACCGTTACACCAACATGTAAGACGCCTCGTGACCTTAGTCTGTGAAATAAGCAATAAAAACAACGCTACCTCTTCTGCAAGATGACATTGCTTGACATTTATGGTGACATATATATTTTAACCAAGAATACTGTAGATTAATTTCATTCCGCTCATTAAGATTATAACTAATTTGACATCCGCTGTATACACCGGGTACCCACCTTTCAAACCACAACACAATTAATCATGTGATACAAACCAAAACATGTATTTTTGGCCTTTAAATCAGCTTTCTTAGACCAAAAAGTGAAAAATAGAGGACCACCTTCTTACAGCCAATCAGCTCTCAGCTCAAAGCATCAAATAGTGACTCACAGGGCACAGTATGCAAGAGATTGCATGTTTTTTTCCCCCCTTATACTTAAACAGCATCAGATCTTATGATTAAAGAGAGAAAACAGCTTTGTAAAAGTTTTCTAATCTGTAATTATTATAGTTACGAAAACGACTCCACAACTCACTCAAGAATATTGTTTTTTTTTCTTTGGGTGTATTCCCCGCTCTGATTTATTTTTACAACTACTAAATACTTTATTGCAGAGTTGGGCAATTATTTAGAATGCTGTCATATTGTGAATGGACTGATCCGTCTTTTAATTTACCCAAAAAAAATAATGGAGGGAGAAAGAAACATGGAGCCAAAATACCCCAGCATTAATATTTTGTTGTGTGGCTGAATTGTGAAATCCGATAAGTTTTTCCCTCTTTTTTTTCCACATTTATAGCGTGTATCAGATGCATGTGCTAATTGCCTAAATGTTGTTGTGGAATCGGAAACTGGTCGGTTTTGGGTGTGCGTTTGTGATTGAGCTGCATACTTTCGCTGGATGACAGGGCGTGGACTGGGACCAGCGTGCGGCGACAAGTCCAACGCTCTAAACTTTCAATGGCGTCAAATGACAAGTGGTACATTACATATATAATTACGACCTCTTCTGCTTAATGGTTGTGTAGCCGTGAGGAAAGGTGGGCATCGGCTCAACTTTGTGATTTTAATAAAGATACAGATGAAAGTGGTAGTTTGTGAATGCAGACCTGCCCACTTGTTTATGCTTGTGGCGTTCTATAATTGTTTTGTGTCTGAGTGACAATATTTTTAAGGTTATTGAGACCAACCCACCACTTCAATTAAAATAGGAAAATCTAATATGCAGCCAAACACGTCATAATCACTAAATTGATCGAAAAAACAGTATGGGTAAGTATCTGGTTCAGTAAAAAAGAAAAAATAATGTTCAAAATAAATAAATATATTGTAGTTTCCTCACTGTGGGACAAAAACGGATTAATCTAAACAGACACAGTTAATACCACAACATTCAAGCATACTTTAGTTCTTCAAATGCAAACCACCAGAATTCCCTCTTAAAGACATTCCATGGTCTGGGATGTTGATTTTTTAATGAAAAAACGCAAAAAGAAAACCAAACGTTATCATTTATTTAAGCATTTCTCAGTTGAAGGTTGTGATCAGAAAAGTTTGTCGCTAGAACAGATGATAAACAGGTAAAGAATATACCATAGTTGACATTTTTATATAGATAGATTACTTTAGGACGGGAGAAGAGAGGGGCGGAGCTGTCAACCGATCATCACCTGGTCGTGAGTTGGATCCGCTGGCAGGGCAGGAGGCCGGTCAGACCTGGCAGGCCCAAGCGTGTAGTGAGGGTTTGCTGGGAACGTCTTGCTGAGCCCCCTGTCAGACGGACTTTCAACTCACACCTCCGGGAGAGCTTCTCCCAGGTCCCGGCAGAGGAGGGGGACATCGAGTCCGAGTGGACCATGTTCTCTTCCTCTATCGCCAATGCGGCGGCTCGTAGCTGTGGTCGCAAGGTCTCTGGTGCTGGTCCCGGCGGCAATCCCCGAACCCGGTGGTGGACACCGGCAGTAAGGGATGCCGTCAGGCTGAAGAAGGAGTCCTATCGAGCAATGATGGTTCGTGGGACTCCTGAGGCAGCTGTCCAGTACCGGCAGGCCAAACGTTGGCCTGCCTCTGGCTGTTGCAGAGGCAAAAACCCGGGACTGGGAGGAGTTCGGAGAGTCCATGGAGCATGACTATCGGTCGGCCTCGAAGAGGTTCTGGCAAACCGTCCGGCGCCTCAGGAGGGGGAAGCAGTTCTTTGCCAACACCGTGTATGGTGCGGGTGGAGGGCTGCTGACCTCGACTGGGGATATTGTCGGGCGGTGGAAGGAATACTTCGAGGTTCTCCTCAATCCCCCCGTCACGTCCTCCGTCCAGGAGGCAGAGGCTGAGGATGTTGGGGCGGATACTTCCATCTCCCTGGCCGAGGTCACCAAGGTGGTTGGCAGCCTCCATGGTGGCAAGGCGCCGGGAGTGGATGAGATCCGTCCTGACTATCTAAAGTCTCTGGATGTTGTAGGACTGTCTTGGCTGACACGTCTCTGCAACATCGCGTGGCGATCGGGGGCGGTGCCAATGGAGTGGCAGACCGGGGTGGTGGTCCCTCTCTACAAGAAGGGGGACCGGAGGGTGTGTTCCAATTATCGTGGGATCACACTCCTCAGCCTCCCCGGTAAGGTCTACTCCAAGGTACTGGAGAGGAGGCTACGTCCGATGGTCGAATCTCGGATTCAGGAGGAGCAGTGTGGTTTTCGTCCCGGTCGCGGAACACTGGACCAGCTCTATACTCTCCATCGGATACTCGAGGGTTCATGGGAGTTCGCCCAACCTGTCCACATGTGCTTTGTGGATTTGGAGAAGGCGTTCGACCGTGTTCCCCGGGGTGTCCTTTGGGGGGTCCTCCGGGAGTACGGGGTCCGGGGTCCTCTGCTGAGGGCTGTTCGGTCCCTGTATGACCGGAGCCAGAGCTGTGTTCGCATTGCCGGCAGTAAGTCAGACCTGTTCCCGGTGCATGTTGGCCTCCGCCAAGGCTGCCCTTTGTCACCGGTTCTGTTCACTGTATTTATGGACAGAATCTCTAGGCGCAGCCAGGGGCCGGAGGGGGTCCGGTTCGGGAGCCACAGGATTTCATCTCTACTTTTTGCGGATGATGTCGTCCTGTTGGCTCCAACGAACCAGGACCTGCAACATGCACTGGGACGGTTTGCAGCCGAGTGTGAAGCGGCTGGGATGAGAATCAGCACCTCCAAATCTGAGGCCATGGTGCTCGACCGGAAAAAGGTGCCTTGCCCTCTTCAGGTGGGTGGAGAGGTCCTTCCTCAAGTGGAGGAGTTCAAGTATCTCGGGGTCTTGTTCACGAGTGAGGGGAGGATGGAGCGTGAGATTGACAGGCGGATCGGTGCAGCGTGCGCAGTGATGCGGTCGCTGTATCGGACCGTTGTGGTAAAGAGGGAGCTGAGCCGAAAGGCAAAGCTCTCGATTTACCGGCCAATCTTCGTTCCCTCCCTCACCTATGGTCATGAGCTGTGGGTAATGACCGAAAGAACGAGATCGCGGATACAAGCGGTCGAAATGAGCTTCCTCCGCAGAGTGGCTGGGCGCTCCCTTAGAGATAGGGTGAGGAGCTCAGTCACACGGGAGGAGCTCGGAGTAGAGCCGCTGCTTCTCCACGTCGAGAGGAACCAGTTGAGGTGGCTCGGGCATCTGTTCAGGATGCCTCCTGGACGCCTTCCTGGGGAGGTGTTCCGGGCACGTCCCACCGGGAGGAGGCCCCGGGGAAGACCCAGGACACGCTGGAGAGACTATGTCTCTCAGCTGGCCTGGGAACGCCTTGGGGTCCCCCCGGACGTGCTAGAGGAGGTGTGTGTGGATAGGGAAGTCTGGGCGTCTCTGCTTAGACTGCTGCCCCCGCGACCCGGCAACGGATAAAGCGGAAGAAAATGGATGGATGGATGGACTATGTTCTGCTGACATTTAAAGGGGACATATCATGAAAAATCCACTTTTTGTGCCTTAAAGGCGCTATACCCGTTTCTGCAATGTTTGAATGTTTAGCACCGCCCCCCAACTCGCTCACAGGCTTCTCATTTCCCCTACGCTCTCATAACACGGAGC